CACACGCACACGCACACGCACACACACACTAGATACAAAAGGAGTGCCCTTTCCATTCTCGCAAACATTGAATCAGGTCACTAAAAGGGTGNTCCCGCATGCTGGCTCTTACGGAACCGACTAACTCCCCTTGTGTGTATGCACAGCTCTCAACATGCCCAGACTTGGAGTGATTTTCACCTCTTTTAATACTTTTCGCCTCATTCTGAAAGAAAGAAGTGAAATGAGCCAACATGACGGCCGTCTTGGTGTGTGGTGCGAGATGGGAGTTGTAGTTCATTGAGCGGTTTCACACAAAAAAATGTGTAACTTCACAGTTTTACGACACATTTTAATTTTTTTACTTGCAAAATTATCTTTTAAATCGACAAACATCATATGTGTAATTCGTTGCACAATTCAAACGGGATCGAAAGATAACTTTTCGCTCTCCATTGACTTCAATACATACTTTTTCCGAAATAAGGTCCCATGAAGCTCCACCAGAAAGGGAGGGACTTCGCCTCTCTATTGGGTGGCCTTTTTTATAAAAACAAAATACTGGTTCTAACAAACTGCACACTGCCTTCTGAATTAATTGAAATCAAAGTGAATTTAAAGTTGTTTCTTGAATGTTACTTTTCAGTTAATTCTTCTTTCTGCTCAGATGGACGTGTCGGTGGTGACGCTCTTCTGCACGCAGGAGCACGGGATCCTCCTGCAGGACTGCTACCCCAAACCCTCCGGCCTGCAGGCGCTCCTCGCTATGGATGTGCCTTATTATTATTTCAGCTGCAAGGTGAGGACGCAGTGTTCTGCCTCTTTCTCATACTGCAAAATGTACAGCAAGTGTTTTCAATATGTTTCCCCTAACACATTTATTGTGTCTTTGTTTGCATCATCACTATTTCTTATGTTATACTGTGTGTGTGTTTGGACTTACACACCCCCAGCTATTATTTCGGAGGGGGGGTGTCTTTTTACCAGAAGTAAGTGTCTGTCCCCCACAGTCCGTTCAGAAAGCTTCAGTGTTCCTGACTCCCAGCAGCTGTGGTTGTGTATGCCTTCTGCTGCAGTTTACCAACATTGAAGTGTTGGCTCTCTCAGCAGCTCAAGTGCATCCCTGAAGTATCTAGATGTCATTCAGCTGAGTCCAGTTCCCTCCACCTTGTGTTGATGAATAGATTTGTTCTGTGATGCTTCGTTGTTGTCTGGTTTCCTCCTCTTCTTATCCGTTACCCATATCCCCCAAGATTAAAGCGTTTTACCTTTAATGGGCCTCATTCACCAATATATTAAATGTGGTTTTGAGAAAGGTCCTAAGAAGATTCCAGGTCCGATTCCTGACAGTCCTGAGTGTAAATGCACAGTTAGCAGTTTGCAGGTGGACCTGGGTTTGGGTGTTTTGTTAATGCAGATTTGTTGAGAGTCCTGCTGGCAGCATATACTGTACTCTCAAGACACATCTTTATTATTAGATTCTAGTGCTTTTTTAATTTAACATAATTAGTTCTGCTTTTTATTGAAAAATCTTGTTTTTGGTTGTATAGCTATCATGTCCAGTGACTCTAAATCAGTGCAGCATTGTCTAACTACCCTAAACAAGTAAGACACACCTCTTTAATTTGGATTAAGTCAATTTAGGTCTATTTTAAACGAATATTTTAATCAGAAAATCTGTAGTTTTTTTATTAAAAACCCTTGATTTTCTTTCAATAGCATCCATATTATGTGAGCGTATGACTCCAAATCAATGCAGAGTTTTATTATTTCATCAAACATGTAGGACAAATCTCTTCTTTTTTTTTAAGGTTTTTGTAGTTTGTGAAAAAATGTAAGAGTTTCTTTATTGAAAATGCTATGATAATTTCAATAGCATCCATGCAATATAACCTGGACAAGTAGGACACACTTCTCTTTGTTGAGTTTTACTCCACTTTTCATTTGATATGATGTATTATGAATAATCATCAGTTTGGCATTTCACCCAGTGACTCCAAACAAATCCCAAATAAGAAAGCATTGGTGTTAGTCACCACCCGAGTGGGTTTCCAGAAGACTTTTGTTCTTAAAACTGTTTGGTGAATGAGGCAACTTGATCGTACCCCATGCTGCATTCATTAACTAGCTGTGATTCACATGTTGATCAAATATTTCCCTACCTGGTCTGCCCCTCGTCAGCACGGTGAGAAGGACCCAGGGTCTGCAGAGATTTCAGCCACAGCCCCAGCTACTCCACAGAAGAGCCAGCCCCCCACCATGGTGTCCAGACGAGCTCTCAGAGACTTTGTGGGCCTGGAGAACTGCGAGAAGGCGACACGCGACGCCATGCTCAACTTCAGCTTCTACCTGACCATCGGAGACATGGACGAAGCCTTCAAGTCCATAAAGCTCATCAAGAGGTAAGGCATTTACACCATCATTACAAGAGTCAGCTCACAGAGAGGAGACGTGCAGGATGGCATGCCTCTGTTCGATCGCTGTCAACACTTCTCCCAGCATTCCTCTCCACAGAAGCTCAAGCTCAGGGGCTGAATAAAGGCCACGGGGATAGCATTGTTGCTACGGCCTTCACTATTTTCACAATGCTCCACAATGGTTTGCAGTAGGAGAGCTCTACCTAATTGCTTGAATTGTTGCCTCTTGCTTTTCCTCACCCCTTATTTCATTCAGCACCTATGTCTTTGAAGGTGGACATGGAGGAAAACGTACAAATGAGGGTCATTGTGGTTAAAAATAAGTAAATACGGAGCCGAGGGAGAGGGTAAGATAGCGAGAAAAAACGGATACTTCGTGCTACCTATTTTCCTTTAAAGTTTTTTTTTTTTTATCCTTACTGTATGTAATAATAACAAAACTGGCACTTCACAGGTGAATTAATATAAATGGTAACCAATTGTTTATGTATTTGGAAAACGTGGACCATTTAAAATACTGTAAAAGCAAAATCCAGTATCAAATAAATACATATATAAAGAGATATGAAATATATAAAACTGTGTTTGTCTTTGGATGTATCATACCATGATGCAACTATCACATCAGATCCACCAAAGCATCGCTTTTATTTGTGCATGTAGGGTAATTAAATATTATTGAAAACACAGGACATGATTAAGGACTTGTTCTGTGTCTGTGCTTGGGGAAGGAACTCTTCAATGTGTATGTGACTGTTTCTGTTAGTGTGCGGAGGGGATGTACTTTTCTAAACACACACACACACACACACACACACACACACACACACACACACACACACACACACACACACACACACACACACACACACACACACACACACACACACACACACACACACTACTACACCTACCGTACGTACGTAAG